CTCACCTTGGAAAGGAATGGAGAGGATGAACAAGAGGATTGCAGGCCCAGAGAAAAAGTTAAGGCGTCAGTGGAGTAGGTCAGGTGACAGGTACTGAGGGTTCACACCAAGGAAATATCACTAGCAGAGTAGAGGAGACAGAGACAGGCGAGAATTTAAGTCAGTATCTTTCAAACTGAAACTCCAATCCACTAATTACTGTTAAATCATTCTAGTCTCGAGACCACCAGGGAGGTAGTACCTCAGGTCTAATGAACACTAGCTAAGTTCAGGAATAGATGGAAAAGGAAGTATTAGTGTCCTAGAGCTCCTTGCCTAAGCTTTGGTTTGGTTTTTTGTTTGTTTGTTTGTTTGTATTTTTTAAGTCATTTATTGAAAGAGAGAAAGAAATGCATCTTAATTTAGATAATGTCCTAGTAACACTTCAATTCTTATGTAAGAGACTATATAAACATGAATTCATATAAATGTAGATATGGGTCTATTGAGCACGATCTCAAATCTTGAACAAAATGTTTATACTAACTTAGCAGGCCTCAGTTGCCGTTTCGATGAATGGGAGCGGCTACAAGAAGTAATGTGATTAAGTTGACTGTGACTAATCAGTCTGAGGGTATCCTCGATTTCAAACATAGAATCTGGGGGGTTAAGGAGTCCCCAGGACATGCTGTCTAGAGTGTATGTAAGCAACTGTCGAATGTGGAGGAAAGACGCTGTAAGTGCAAGGATGGGTCAGGGTGGGTTCATCAGAACATACAGAACAAATGGAGGTGTGGGAAAGTCACCATCTCCCAGGAGAAAGCCAGGAGTGCAGCAAAGAAAGGCAAAGGGGCTCCGACGAACACCAATGAGCAAGGGCTTCAGGGAGGAGAGAAGACAGGGAGGGCACAAGGTTAAGGGAAAGGAAATGAGGCCCCCTAGTCATCTGGTGGGTGTTTAGGAAAATGGAGCATCTCTATTCCTAGGTAGGACAGTGGGACCTCAGTGGGAGCAATTCCTGGGGGATGATGGGCAGAGGCAGAATAGACTATGGATTTAGGGATTCCTTGGCATGTGCAATGTGCCGTCTTAAACATGGGCATACCTAGGAAATTAGAATGTTGATCGCACTCGACTCAAAATAGTAAAAGTTAATATAGCCAACGAAGTAGAGGCAAACATGTGGGCTCCTCCCCCAGAGACTCTTGGCAAAAAGTTGAGATTTTCACTCAAGTATTCTTCTCCCCTTGCAATTTTTTTAATTTGTGCTAAAGATTTACCTCCAGAATGTAAGGGGAAATGAGGAAATAGGAAGGCTGATGATAGAGAATAAAGACAATAAACGGAGTGATGTTTTCTTGTGGAGCAGGGGTGGCAGGACCCTGGGCCACAGGAGTAGGATGAGGTCCTGACAGTTGTAGAATTGCAGAGAGAAGCTGGAAGGGTATGGGGAAAGGGGTGACTGAAACAAAGGGTCGCTATCTTGCCAGTATCCAGTGGTGTGAAAATGGGTATGTGGCAGCTTGAATGAACATGGATGAAGAGTTGGGACATTATGACTCTTAAAACTCAACCCAGGAATCAAGAATGACCAGCTGAAGAGGCAATAAAGAACATGTGTTCGACATACATGATTATCGTTACCAACTAAACAGGGTCTCAAGCTTGTCCAGGCATACAATTACAAGGACATTACATTCCTTGAGAAAAAAATAAGTCTTTATGATGATTATGTGACTACACCAGAGATACAATGAAGATCCACCTTTGACAAGGATACTATGAGCATCACTGTCATACAGTGTGTGACTCAGCAGATTCAGATAAACTCAGATTGAAAAGGAACATGGGAAAAAGAGGAATCAGAGGTGGGAAAATGGGGTGGAAGTGCCATGTCAGTAATAGGGAACCTCCTTCAGCCAGTGGTCTTTGGAAGGCTGCTGCCCACTGGGCTTCCTGTCAGGATCCGGTACACATAGGAGCCTGGAAAACAAGACAGTTTAACATAAAGCCAAGCCCAGACTATCAAATACTGCCCCCTCCCTCTTGGTGAGCTTTTGTAAACACCTTATGACAAAGTCTTACAGCAATCCTCTGTGATAGATTGTTCTCCAGTTTGCCAATGGGGAAACCACAATTCAGTACAGGAAATGAACCATGACTTGTAAATAAACAATAATAAGATGAAACTAAGTTAATTGATTTTATTCTTCCCTTGGCCTTTTTTATTATTTAACCAACAACAATAATAAAGAAAATAACAGCACCTAAATTTGGACCTTTATCAAAATTAAATATATATATATATATGCATAGTAAATAAAATAATAAATAAGTAAATGAATAAGATTGATGTGAAAGTGCTGGACACCCCCAAAGTCACAAAGATTTTCTTTGTCAAGCATAATAATTCTCAATTAGTAATAATTTTGCATCTGAGGGCACATGTGACAACGGGGATAGATTTTATCATCACAACCAGCAGGGTACCAGTAGCATCTAATGGACAAGCCCAGGTTGCTAAACACTTGGTCATGCACAGGACAGCAAGCAACGTAAAGAATTGTACCCAAAATTTCAACAGTACTAAGGATTAGGAAATTCTGCTACTGGTTTAGCATAGCAGCTAGAAACCCCGTGTGTGAAAATCATAGCGAAACATCACAAATGACAGGTAGATTTTAGTGGCCAAGTATTCATGGATCTAAACCACCGCTTGCTTTCAATGAGTTAGAGTTTTGCCTGTCCGAGCCTCGGCTTTCAGGGGAGCAACAGACAACTCCCCCCGCCCACCGTCCCCAGAAAGATAATTAGTCAACTGATGCTTGGCTCGACACCTGGCACATAGAAACAGGTGGTGCCGGCAGAAGGCAGAACAAACATGGTGCCGATCAAAAGAGATCTTGTTCTTACTAAACTGGGTAAGAAGAAAGAAGAGAATTAAGAAACACCACAGTGAGGGCAAACCTTAAGAACAGTCACAGCCGCGGTGTTAAAGTCTGACTGTGAAATTCTACCCTGGAATATTCTCACTGTAAAACAACTTAGAGAAGGTAAAGGGCTGTTGAGCGGCAGCGCGGTTAACACATTGACGTGGATCACGTTTCTCCGCCGTGAAGGAACGCAGCAGCCAGGTTTCCAGACTGGAAGGCTCTTTTCATGGTTACTGCTCTGCCTCCTATGAAGTTGCCTTAAGAAAAGTTTTGCTCAGAGTTACTGCTCTGCCTCCTATGAAGTTGCCTTAAGAAAAGTTTTGCTCAGAGAAGAGTGGTTCGGTAATAGCACTTGGAGCTCTACCCATCATTGCTTCATATACCTTTTTTTTTTTTTTTGAACAATCCTTTTCCAAAATCTACAGCAGTGTTGTTAATTTTTGCGGACATTGACACCCTGGCTTTTTAATCCCTGACAGCAACACTGGTTTTCCTTTCTCACGTGTAGCTGTTCTGACCGCCTGTCTTGGCTGCCTTGCGCAGAAGCAGCAGTCTGTAGATGGCCCTGACTCCGTCTCTGGGTTTTGGTCTTTTCTTGCATTCTTACCTGCGGGTCTGTACTCAGCAGCCTCCTCTCTCACCTCCAGCGGCTCACCTCCCACAGGGGTTTTCTTCCTCTGGCCCTCAATCATCAAGGGTGCTGCGACTCCTCCCAGCCACATCCATGACTGAGTAAAATATTTCTCTGACTCCCCCCCCTTAAAGTCTCCATCCACACATACCCCCCACACACACACACACCCCCATCAGATTCCATTGTCAGACTGCTTATAAAGAGAATGGGAAAAAACCCTTGGAAACTTTGTACCCTCTACCATTCCCTATCATGGTAAGGTATAGGAAGGAGTGAGTAAGGTTAGGTAGGCTGGGGAGCAAGGATGTGGGACACACAGATGCAGCTGGAAGGGAGGTAGTAAAGTTGTACAGCTTCTTAAGGTCCAAAAGAAAACAAACAAACAAACAAAATGTGAGAATAGCATGTCCAGTGGTTTCCGGTGCAGAAACCGCTTACATGCTTATAAAAATACATATATACCCGCTGGCCCAAGCAATGCAACAGTCTCAAGACAGTTTGTGTATTTCACTTCTGAGCCACCCAAAGAGCTGCAAAGTTGGAAGTGGAGAAAGGTTGTCATTCTTTGTTGTAACAAGGAAACTTAGAAACAAAGAGGCTAGACCCTGTCTCCCTTCCCCGCTCCCAAAATGGTTGCTAAAGGGAAAGAGAAATGGGCCTCTAGGCTTGCCAGGTTTTTTTCTCCTAACTCAGAGATTTAGGAGAGCCAAAGGAGGCGAACAGAAAGAGAGAGCAATGAGGGGCTAGAGCGAGAGCTAGGTAAGTGGTTCTCTAAGAAGAGAAAACTGTGTGGGGCTGGGGTGGGGCGGGTGTCCCGAGAATGAAAGAAGAAAATCACACACAGAGCTTGGGGGGGAGATAAAGCTCAGAGGGAGACCTCTGCCTTGCTTGTTTGAAGCCTTTGGCTCAATAACCAGCACCGTGGGGAAAAAAAAAATAGTTGTAATGGCTCTGTCAGCCTCCACCCACCACCCTACTCCCCCCCCCCAAAAAAAAAACAGCAGAAAAAGAAAACGGGGAAGGAAGGGAGGTCAGCACTGGCCTTACCAACACCAAACCGCCGCTTGCAGCCTCCGCCTAGCAAGTCTGAGAGATCTGTGGAAACACTAAGACTAAGAAAACACTCGACTCAATGACCACATATCTCTGCTCTGATTCTTTCAATATGGGCTTTAATTCATAATGTACTCGGGGGGAGGGGACACCAGGGCGCTGCTTCAAAGGGGTAAGAACAGACATTCAACACACTGACCTTGGCTGAACTGAGATGAAGCAGGTGACTACAAAAGCTCTGTCTTGTTCTTGACCCTTCCGTCATCCCACCCGATTAGTCCCCAAGCCCTTTCTCGGGATTTTAGGGCTCTTGCCCAAGTAAGAATCTAAGGGCCACTTAGACTTAAAGAAAATAAAATCTGAGATTCTGATGAAAACAACTCCCCACTCCTCTTCATCTATTGTCTTAAAGTTTCTTTTATTAGATGAATTGTGGTTTGTTTTGTTGTAGTCTTAAATTCCATTTGTCTTCACTTAATGTTTTCACATCTTCTCTCCACTCAGGAGATACCCACACAGCAGTCATAAGGGAAACGAAGGGTACCTCACAGTCAGTCTGGATGCGCCCCGTCTTCCCCAGACGCCCCTTCCCAGGCCCCGTCGGGTCTCCAGAGATTGGGGTAAACCGCGCGGCTGTAACCCGCACTGTAATCGTAGGACACCTGATGGGGCGGCGGCAGCGCGCAATCTGGGAAGAAGGGAGGAAAAGAGGCCAAAGCTGGTGTGTCTTCCCCACCTGGAGAGTCCAAGGCGGTGGGGTACAGGAGGCGCACAGGCTCGTTCAAGGTCAGGCCTCCGCGAACGCCAGCCAGAGGAGGCTTCTTGGTCTGAGGACAGCTCGGGGCGCTCCACGGCTCAGGATAGAGTAGGTTCCCTACCATCGCTGGTGGCTCAAAGGAGCCCGACTCCAGCTCCAAGGGGCCCCGTAGGACTGTAGCTCCAGCTGGGAACGCGTCCAGAGGCTCCGCGGCCAGCAAGACCCCCGACTCGTTACCAGCGCAGAAGTCCGGCGCCAGCAACTCGAAGAACTCGACGGCCTCCGCCCCTTTCTCTAGGTCACCCAGGCTCACTCCCTGGCCCGAGGGACCGCAGCCGCAGCCGCTGCCACCGCTGCCGCCGCCGCTGCCACACACCCGGGACGGCTCAGTGAAGAAGGACGGGGGCAGGTTGCGGGCGCGCAGAGGAACCTTCCTGGTGCCCGGGGCCGC